CATCCATCCATCCATCCATCCATCCATCCATCCATCCATCCATCCATCCATCCATCCATCCATCCATCCATCCGTCCATTATCAATACTGCTTATTCCCTGATGGGGTCGCGGGGGGAACTGGAGCTTATCCCAGTGGTCCCAATAAAAACATAGCTGGTACAAATGACCCTTTGGCTGACTGGGAATAACAGTGTGCCCGATGGCCAGCTCTTCTTGTAGAACAGGGGTCTCCAACTCCGGTCCTGCAGGTTTTTGATGCTGGAGAAGGCTGAGAGGTGTGTCAGACATCCCACCAAACGAGAGGAGCCACATGCAGGACATCAGGAGCCAGCAGACAGGAGCTGGGGAGCTAGCTGAACTCAGCCCTGCCCCTGCAGGCCGGCCGGGGACCATCTGAGTCCAGGTGGAACACTGACACCCTCTGGTGTTTTTAAATTTGGATAAATGGCGATGTTTGTTCTGTCTGATTTGGAACGCAAATCTAATGTTATGGAGACAAAGGACTTTTATAATCCTTTATAATGATCTGTTTATAGCAAGTAAATATTGCGCTAAAATCTGGTCGTTTCCTTGTGAAACAAATGTTTTTGTACTTTTGTGTTTTAATTTACTGGCACAGGATGGATTAGTAGGTGGGCTGTGGGCTCTGGATTAGTGATAAATATATTTTATTTATAGTTAGTTTTTTTTTAGAAGTGGGCTGTCATTGAGACCAAACACAGGAAGAACTGACTGTTACAAAAAGTCACGAGTTTCACAGTTACACATTTCCTCTGCTGTGACTTCCTCGTGTTGGAATGGAGCGAATTGCGTTTTTATCTGCTGCCTTTCTGCTCTGTTTTTGTGACAAAGGAGGTAAAAATGTTTTTTTCTTGTTAATATTGAAGATTTTGACAACACTTTAAAGTCTTTCCTTAAAAACCCACTGGAATGTCTTTGGGTTATAAAAAAGTGGCCTTCCGGGGTTTGAAGGTCATGCGACTGAAATTAATACATTGAAATTGAATGTAAATATTTCAAAAGAAGTTAACTGGCAATTTTCACAAATGTAAAGGGATTCACTCACAAAAATAGAATTTATGACTACAATCATAGGCCTTGGGAAACAGTAAGTCAAATTTCAGTGATGTAAAATAATGAGCCGGGCTCCCTCTAAAATGTCAAAATGTCAAAATGACGCCGTTAAAAATAACCACTCAGACGATAGTCTAGTGATATGAGCAGTTTGGGGAACTTGTCTTACATGTGATAAATATACTTTACATAGTCTGTCACATAGTTCAAGAGAAACTTAACAGCTACATTGTGGACTTTCTGATGAGTGGACAGAGGTAAAGAACTAAGAACATCTACGATTAAACCCAGTACAATATAATGAACCATTATGTTGACAGGAAACCTCAAACAAAACTAACATTCAGTCAGGAGTGTTTATTTTTTAAATGTTACAGAAATCTGCCCTTTTCTTTCTCTCTTGAGTTGGACTCATAAATCATGTAAAGAGTGTATTTGATCCCCTTTTAAAGACTAAAAAATAATGATTTACAATGATTTTATATTAAATAACTAAACAGAAAGACTAACTGAATAAATATTGTACTGAATGGTAACATAACTCATGTTGGAAGACTGGTTCAGTCTGTGGTTTGTGGAGAGTTTGTGCAATTTTAAAGAAAAGTATGTGTCTCATGAGCCAGCAGACCACTTTATAAACCATGATCAGCTGTGATTGATAGGTTTAGACAAAGAGATCAGAAGTGATAAGAATTTGGTTTGCATGTTAAATGTTGTTTTTTGTGTTTGTTTTACAGTGTCCAGAGCGGTGTATCTGCAGACGGGAGATTCTGTCTTTCTAAATGTCACAGAGACTGATGTTCCGGCAAATTTTTTTATTCTTTCATGGAAGTTCAGTGGATTGAATGATTTAATGATAACATTTTCACCTCATGAAAAACCCCATGTCCATCCTAATTATTCTAGTAGAATGGATTATGACGTGAAAAAATACTTTGTTAAATTGAGGAATCTGCAAAAGGCAGACAGTGGGGTTTATACAGCACAAGCAACAACGTTTCAAGTTAAAACAGTTGCTGAATACAACGTCACTGTACAAGGTGGGTGTTCTAACTTTTCATTTAGATAACTTATGTTAAATCAAAAAACAACAAAAACATCAACAAAAACACTTTTCCCTCCGTGCACATTAAAGGTAAAACCTCTTTATTATTTTCTTGTGTGTAAACCCCCTCCTCTCAGATCCAGTGTCCCCGGTCAAGATGGCAGTGAACCAGAGAGAGTTCAGCTCCGTGTCCCTGTCCTGTAACCTCACAGTGACCTGCAGCACAGAGGACGCTCACATCAGCAGCACTTTCACATGTGACAACAAAACCTGCCGTCTGGAGGGAGGAGAGAGATCACAGATCACAAAGTCCGCTGCCTCTCTCCAAGTCCAGTTGTCAGGTCAATCCATCATCTGTAACCATAGCAACCAGATCAGCTGGACCAAAGACGTGATAAAGATTCAGGATCACTGCATCCAATATGGTGAGACTGAAAGATATTCAAGCAATTATCTTGTAAGATCTCACTATCAAACGCTATCAATTCATTTAAAGAATTAAAAATTGTTTAAAGTTTTATTCTTTAAAGCATTAAATAATTTTCTTCATAGTTTTTTAATGTTTTATCACATGAGACTATTTTCTTTTTACTTTTTAGAGATCTGTTAATTAAAAACTTAAGCTTAGTGTTTTAATTGCTTCCCAGCTAAAAATATGAACTCTAATGTATTTATATATATATATATATATATATCGCTTGTTATGTCACAGACTGTTGAAACCTTGTTTTGTGTTGTAGATATGAACTAATTTACTCTGCATTGACTTCAGATTAATGGCAACAATATCTTTCCTCCGCAATCTTTTGAAACTCTCATTTCTTTGTGCAAACACCTGTAAATCTGAAGTCCTTCCACATTTTTACATACCGTAAATGTACAGGTCTGCTCAGATAAACAGCAGCTGGGTTCAATGGTTCAAATTTTTTCTTTTTTTAGATGGACGGGGTTCTTCAGATAACCGCAACCATGTCATTGTCTCCATTGTCTGCATACTTGTTATTGTTGGAATTGGATTTTACCTCGTGAGAGAATATCGTCGAAGGAGAGGAAGATGTAAGTTAAAGTTAAATCTGGTTTGCTCAGCTCAAGATCTGCTGCTTTCAGTGTGACCTGTGTCAGTCTCTTTATATGACTGATCAACGCCCCTCCAGAATGAGTGGTCTGTTTACGCTGCACCGCTCTCTGCTTTGTCTTTTCTGCACCGCTGCTGCACTTTAACACGGTTTGATCTTCAGCCGCTGCACTAACTGAGAATAACTGTGCTTCAACGTGTGTTTGTGCCGGGGGATGGAATTAAGATATATTGAGATACAAAACTGTGCAAAGTCTAGAAACACCATATTTTTTTCTGATATATCTGCAAACATCAATCCACCAAACAAAGTCCATATGTGGTTTGGACAATTATTATTAATATTATTAATTCAAAACATAGAGAAAGCATCTTTTAGTTTTTGTTGTCCTTGCTTATGGAACTACCTTTCAGAAGAACTAAGGGCAGCTGAAATAAAACGGGTCAGTAGAGAGTTTAAATTGAAATAGTTTACTTGTTAAGTGCTTTAATATCATAGAGTGTAAAGACTTTGTGTTGAAATCCTTTTTGCGCAAAAACTACTTCATAAATAGAGCTGGATTGATTCATTGACTGATTTCTCTAAAAGTTGTCAGTGACAAAAACTGGACCAAAGATCAGGGAAAAGTGCAAAGAAAAAAACTGAAACATCCTCAGAAAGTTTGGAGATTCCATTACTGGCCTCCTACTACTATCTATTATCTTGAAAGATGACCAGAAAGAGTGTTGGCTTAACTATGTTGCGCAGTGCTGTAACTTAAACAAAATTTACCTAATCTAAAAATGCAAAAATCGATCATGTTTGGCCTCACCGTGAACGCCTCTCTCTAAATATCCTGCAGATAACAATGAGCAAGCTGAAAACACAGTGTACTCCACCCCTCAGGCAAGTTTCTATATTTTATTTTTCTTCTATATTTAAATACATTGCTCAGATTTCCTCTGAAACTTCTATTTGAAGCTTTCTTAGATGGATTTATAGACTGTTAGTTTAGGTAAAGTGTCTAAAATCAGAGAACATGTTCTGCTAATTTGTCAAAGCAGTGCATTGGGAGACCTCATTGATGCAATTCGTGTGTGTTATCATTTTGCAGTTTAAACCTGCCCGAAATGAGAGTAGGAATTCAGCAGATGATGGCTCAACTCTTTCTCCACACACCATCTACAGCATGGCGGAACCTCAGAAGCGATTAGCTTCCTCTGTGCCAGAAACCATATACGCACAGGTGCAAAAGACCGTTCCCACCAACAATTGATCCGTTTCCAGTTATTCCAGTTTGGCCTCTGCCCAGTGGTGGAGTTTGTGTTGCTTTATTTATGTGGAGGGAAGTAAGTAGTCTGTCGGAACAAAGTCGAATGAGTTAAAGAAAACTGTTCTTTCTATAGATCCTGAAGAATTGTTTTGATGTTTACATTAATCCTCATAGTAAGAAGGATTTGGCTTGAAAATACAGCTGCAGTATTGTCAAATAAAAAAATGTATGTCAAATTTGACGTACATAGAGTAAGTTTTATTTTTATTAAAAAGGATTTTATTGTGTATACTGTTAATGAAATGTATTATCTTGTTATTAGGCAACAATTAGACATTGTTAATAGCCTTTTATATCCTTTTGTTTATGATCACTGGTCATTGATTATCTGATTATTTGCCCAGTTTGTGCATCTCAGGATCAATGACAGCTGGTCTGTTCCTGTCAGTAATCTGTCTGATGTTTAACTGAAGTGATGTTGTGGTAGAAAACCTGTTAATGAAGATGATTACTTTCATATTTCACAGCTTACAGTGTTATCCTGTCAGAGTCCTGTTGTCATTTCAGCTGTTTTCTATTCTTGTGTCGACTGATTGGTGTTTTTTCAACTGCTCACCATGAATTAAACAAGTGAAACACACGTTTTTGTCTTTGCTCTTTTTATTTTGGGTGTTTCAACAATTTATTCTCACTGGAACAAAGCTAATCAAACGGACGGTGCAGAGCTAACAATTACAGACATCTGTCCTGTTATATTTAACTGCACAGAATCATGAAGCGGCACAAACAACAAACAGGTTCAGCATGAACAAGTGCATGTTCACTCCACTACAGAGTTTCCTTCTTTGACAAAGTGTCCGGTTTAGAATTCAGCCCATACATCTCTGAACAAGCCTTGATCTGCTACAATGTTGTACAACTCTGGTACGTCATCAATCCGGCCAAGAGAAGACTGCAGAGCACAGCTCAAAAAGGCAAAGAGAGACCAGAGGGAAGTCCCAGAGCCTCACCAGAGCCATGACAACCGAAAAAATGAGGAACAGTCCGAGGATCCAAATGGTGTTTGTGGGTGAATTTGTACATTTTTTCAGGAGGGAACTTTTCATTCTTGCTTCTTGAGCCTCTCCATGATGTGGACACCGATGACAGCGCACACCATGATGACCAGACAAACGGAGAACACGGCCGTCTTCACCAGACAGAAAGACACAGCAGAGCCTGAAACACAGCAAACGTGTTTATCAACTCTGAGACCTTCAGTAGTGCAAAGAATACTAACAAAACTGTACATATTTAAAAATGACTGAGGAAAAATATTTAACATGTAAAGACTCAACAGATCATTTATGTCAAAAGGTGCTTTAAAAAGTAGCTATTAAGCTAATTTCATCTTTATTTCCAGCAACATTCTTCTTTGCATCTCTGTTTTCGACTGTGAAACAACAACAAAAAAAAGCTAATTGACATAAAAACATAAAGGGACTGAATCACTGAAACAAAAAGATTGATTGATCTTTGATTATACGAAGTATTTTTATCTGGTCTAAAAGCCAAACTCATCAGTCTCACCATCATGGTGGAAGCAGTGATCCTGAATCTTTATCACGTCTTTGGTCCAGCTGACCTGGTTGCTATGGTTACAGATGATGGATTGACCTGACAGCTGGACATGGAGAAAGGCAGCAGACTTTGTGATCTGTGATCTCTCTCCTCCCTCCTGTTGGCAGGTTTTGGTGTCACATGTGAAAGTGCTGCTGATGTGAGCGTCCTCTGTGCTGCAGGTCACTGTGAGGTTACAGGACAGGGACACGGAGCTGTTGGGGGTCACTGCCATCTTAACCGGGGACACTGGATCTGAGGGGAGGGGGTTTACACACAAGAAAATAAAGAAGAGGTTTTAGCTTTAAGGTGCACAGAGAAAAAAAATAATTTTTAATTGTAGAAATGTAACATAAGTTATCTAAATGAAAAGTTACAACACCCACCTTGTACAGTGACGTTGTATTCAGCAACTGTTTTAACATTAAACGCTGCTAGTTCTGCTGTATAAACTCCACTGTCTGCCTTTTGCAGATTCCTCAATTTAACAAAGTATTTTTTCCCATCATAATCCATTCTACTGGAATAATTAGGATGGACACGAGGTTCTCGAACAGGTGAAAATGATACCAAGGCAACTTTTGCATTGAATTTCCATGAAAGAATGGCAAAATCTGCAGGAACATCCGTTTCTGTGACATTTAGAAAGACAGAATCTCCTGTCTGCAGAAAAACAGCTCTGGACACTGTAAAACAAACACAAAAAACAACATTTAACATGTAAACTAAGTTCTCACCACTTCTGATCTCTTTCTTAATCAGTTTGAACCCATAACTGATAATCATGGTTTATACCATGGTTTGTTTAAAAGTTTTAGCACGTTTGGGGCGCAGGAGTTTATTCTTTCTCTCTAAAAACAGAAATCTATTTTGATGTTTGTTACCAGGGAACAACAAGTTACTTTCATATGATGGTCAATTTCTCCCTGGAGATCAATAAAGTATATATTCAATAAAGTATATATTGAATTAAATTCAATTCAATTCAATTCAATACAATCAAATGATGAGATACTGAATCACATTAAAGCAAAACATTGTTTGGTTACAACAAGCTGTCTCATTATTGTTTGCTTTGTGAGTAATTTTGCACATGGATGGACAAGAAAAATGTTAAACAATAAAAGTAAATACTATCCATCGATCAATTTGCTATAGTGCTAATTACTGTTCCAAATATCATCCATTCTTCCTGCTTTCATTTATAACTAAATTGGTTAGAATGATACAAATTGGTCAGCAGGATTAATGATGAGACATTAAAATACATTGAAACACGTGTTTAAACTGTGACAATGGACTAAAATGCAAAAATCCTTTTCTCCCCAAGTTAAAACATATTTGTTCTGTAACAGATTACGTAACAGTCTAGCTATAGCTCTTTACTACAGCCATCAAGAAGACCTGAGGCGGGTGTCCACCCTGCAGAGGTCATCAGTCCAGCACAGGACCACACAGAGGCAAACAAAACAAGCAGCCCCCTCACACTCACCCAAATAGTTGATTTAGAGAATGCATTTGGGCTTAGATACAAAGGTGAGAAATTATTAATAAAGGGCTAATTATAACCAATGACATTTCAGAAAAGTTTCCAGCTCCTACCTGATGTGTCGATGCAGAGCAGCAGAGTCAGAAAAATACTTTTTTGAGTATCCATTTAGCTCAAAGTCTTCCGCTTCATTAACTATAAATGATTAAACAGAAAGAAAAGCAGAAGCAGGTGGTTAGGGTTCTCAAAGATGTGCATTTCCTGTCAATGACCACAGTGTTTCAGCGTTCACACGATACAAACTGCCCTCACGGCTCTGCTTAATGCTGGGAGTCCAAGGCTGTAAACAACCGCATTTTAAAAAAGTGGTATCAGACGTATGCTGAATGTCCAAAATAAAAGCGGAACAAAAAAAAGTAAAAAAGTTAAACAGAAATAGAATTTGATTTGTATGTTTATCCTTTTTTAAATACAAACTCGATGGCTGCTGCCTCATAGGGAGACCAATAATAGTCCGGTTTCACACGTGTTCAAAAAGGTGTGAAGGTGATTCACCACTAAAAAACAGCGTGGAGGCCAAATAAGCAACCTGAAGTACACATCTCTGTGGGTTTTCTCTTCTCTGACATGAAAACGGCTCATATTCAGGCAGAGAAGTGCACAAACTTTAGGTACTGTGCCTCCTCTGATAGATGAATTTTTACTGTAATTGCACCGTGGATTTTTGTGCTCCGTATTTTCTGAGTGTATGTTCATTTGTTGATGGGTAAAAAGCCCTCGGTTTGCAAATGGTGCTCTGAAAGAACACAGGCCATTAAATTGGTTATTGAAAACTTAAAGGGACGACGTAAACAAGAAATAGCAGAACGCTCACTGTATTTGTCTAACGACTGACTATGAGCTTGAATTTCAATTAAATTAAATTCAATTCAATTTTATTTATATAGCGCCACATCACAACAACAGTTGTCTCACAGCTCTTTCCAAACAGAGCAGGTCAGACCCTACTCTGAAGATAATTACAGAAACCCAACAATGATGTTTGACAAAAACATATACATCTATTGATGGCGTGAGGACGTGCATGTCAAAGCCAAAGCTTCAGCAATACACCGCAGTGCTCTGTGACTGCCTCTATCCAGGCCACAGTGCAGCCAAACGCTGGTGGTGGGGTTAAACCAGACGAAAGGACTTCTTCATCTTTACACTTATTGCTTTCAAACTGCTGCGCCTCTGTAGTGTTTATGGTCACAGATGGCTTCCGTGTGCAAGCCCTGACGAACGTTTCTCTGTAATGTATGAGGAACTGCATAAGGGAACAACAACTCCTGTTCACAGAAATAAGCTACCTCAGAAACAAAGGAAGTGAAAAATCGTCTGTTGTGTCAAGATGTCGAAATGAAGTTCCTTGTTCCACGAATGAACATCTGATTTTCTGACTTTCTCTTTATTGCTTGTTCAAAATAAGTATAGGGCATGGAAAAATAACTGGCATGGTCATTTAGGTCCCATGTGACAGAAAAACCCTCCAGTGGGTCCAAATCAACTGTGTGAATGTTGCACTCCTGATTAAAAGAATATCTCTAAATTAGGGATAAATGGTCATGATTTGTTCCTTCAGCGTAGGAATTTACCCTAGAGAGAATCAACAGATGGATATAAACAGGAATACTGAAAAAGCAAACTGAAATTAATCACACATGCATGAAGTAACATCACTCCCATAGTTCGCACTGATAATATGACTGTGCAGGGAAAAGTTTTTTCTTCAGCTTGAAACCTTTCAAAAACGATTAGAACATTCATTTAACACTTGACACCTCTTTTTGGTATTAAGGATACGAAACATACCTGTAAAATTAGGAATAAATGAACAACAGAGTGATGGTGATAGTCTTGATGCCTGAGACTGAAAATGTACTTTGCATGGCCACTTCCCAAATTTGAAAAAAGCAGATATAAGACTAAAGCAATCGATTGCAGACCTAAGAATGTCCAATCAACCTAACCTGCAGGTTCTGGGACGGTGGGAGGAAGACACAGGGAGAACATGCAAACTCCACACAGAAAGGTCCCTGTTCCCTCAGGGAATTGAACCCAGAACCCTCTTACTGTGAGGCGATCATGCTAACCCCAACATGACCATGGTTAAACCATGGTTTTACTAATAAAACTACAATGTAAACCCTTTAACACCATATTGCATCCTATCTGATACACAGATTTCTGAGACTTGTTGCATCTTGATACAGTGAAAACCTAAAAAAAAACAACATAGATTTTTTCCTTTTTCTGCATTTTAGCTTCAAATGAAAATGTGCAGATAATATTTATGAAATTTTGTGAAAAACATATGTAAATTACATTTGTATGTTCATATTTTAAATTTTTTTGTTAATTTCTTCTTGGATGAGGCTTTATTGGGTTGATATTAGACATTTTGTACTACCTTTTTCAACTACAGAAGTTGTTCTTTGAAATTTGCCTTAACATTGACGACTTCACCAAAGAACAAAGCACAAGAATACTTTTAGCTTGTCGCATGAACACCACTGATCCATGACAGCATGCACGAAGTGTGGAGTGATCAGGAGTGTGCATGCTGAGATAAGCCCAAAAGAGGAAAAAGCCCAACGATGCAGTGCTGTTAACAGTTGTGGTGCAGTGGCTGGGGACTTCCTCCATTTAGGTTCCGGTTGTAGAGTGTTTGTGATAATAAAAAGGCTCATAAGTGAGGGGGGATGTAAGCAAAGAAAGATAGGTGTTGATGATAGTGTTTTTATGAGGTTACTTTTACCCCTTAAATGCGCCACAACTCAGAGCTTGTGCCCACTGCAAACAATGCAAGCCATCATTTAAGATTTAAAAGAAGTTATGGGTTAATTTGCAAAAGCACCCCAAAGGAGACGGGTGTCTGCATTAGTTTGGAGCACAAAACATGTCATTGGAAAGAGCCGAGCTTTATCTCGCTGCCCTTTGCATGCATCATGCACCCTCATCCGCTAGCTAATAATTCAGAAAAAGGTGACATAACCGGGGATTTAGGGCTTTATGAGTAAAAAGCAGAAGCCTTTTGACATAATCAAGATATGAATTCAAGATTAGATTAACATCAAGGTTGAACTAGCGAGCAGGAAGAGCGGGAAAGGGCCCGAAGCCCCCGCTCCAGGGCTGGCAGCACCCGCAGCTCACCCAGAATCTGCTTTAAATAGTCTTCTCATTAGAGCTCGTTTGAGAGTGCACTCTATCAAACTGCAGAATTCCTCACTTTAACACTCCATTTAGAGAAATGAAACAAATGAATCAAATTAAGACTTGACATGATTCAGCGCTCGTTTGTTTTGTTTAGCTAAATGAGTCCATCTGATTGATCCAGATTAAGTAGTGTGAGGGGCAACTAGTTTTTCCTTCTATCAGAGGTTCCATCAGGGTTTTAAGGACAAAAACTCGACCAATCGGTGCTCTTCTTTGGAAATTACAGATCGTTTCAGGCGTGAAAACATTAAAGAAGAGCCACTACTGTTCACTAATTGTTTTCCAGCTGAAGCGGCTTATTGGCCTTACTCGTTTTCTCAGAGGAAGCTTTGTGCCACATACTGGGCGGGGTTTGGCCGGTTTTGACAATAAAATGCAGACAAAAAAAAAAAAGGAACTGTGGTCAGAAGCTGACATAGATACTGTATTTCTGCCCCTGAAGCACGAGTTTAACGTGATGTTTAGTCATGCACTGTGCTGTTGGTGGTGCTCTTGCAAGAAGTATTGATCTAATGATCAATGTTTAGCATGATTACCCTAAATTTGATGTGGTTCTGCCTTAATCTGCATGTTTATTGTTCAATACACACAAACAATCATTTAACTCTGTTGTGTTCCTCTTATCCACTAATTATGCTACCGATTCGTATTTATTTTCATATTATTTATTTATTTATTTATTTGAATAGGGACTAAGCACAGTAATGAACATCAGTGAAAAACAAATGTAAATATGCCGGATTGTAGCTACAAAGCTACAAATATTAACGTTGATTTGAAGGTAAATTACTAGAGACAGCATAATTACTGTTCACTAGCAGACTGAACAGCATGATTTTTTTCCAGCAACTTACACAAACTTTTACGATTATCTGGCTGGTTCATTCTTTCATGCACAGATTTAAGTGGATGAGACCTGGAAAGAGGAGGCTTCATATTTAATTGTGTCATTTCCATTTTCAAAATCAAAACCAAACAAATAACAAAAAGTGATGGTTTGGCATGATGTTTGCACTATTTACAACCGTCACTTTAGGCTTTTGCCTTTGGCAAACCGGCGCCGCAAACTAGTCGGTCAAGCCTTCATTTGTAACCAAGTCGTGTCCGGAGAGTCCGTCTGCCTTTCCCGTTCGTCCCTGACCCCACGGGCCCCATCAGCACAGTCGCACCAAGGACTCCCATTACGAGAAACATCATCCCCCCCCCCCCCCCTCGGCCCGGTGATAAATAATTGCAGACATCCTAATTTACTCCCCATCCTTTTTCCCCCACTCACAGCTGCGTAATGCCATCCCGCCACAAGATGGCGACGCAGCATAAAAAAAACCCCAAAACCTGCCTGACAGTTTCTCTGCTTCCAGACACAAAGCCCGTGACATCATCCGCAGAGGGACAGAGGGTGTGCGAAGGACAAATGTCTTGAAATGAATTACATCATTCCCCACTAATATGATAATACATCTCACCCACTGAGTGCCGTGCCAAGCGTGAGAGGGGCCATAATCCCTACAATGTCCGCTTCAAACGTGAACAAGGGGATAAAATGGGAGTGTTAGCTGAGGGAGAGGAGGGGGGGGGGGGTGTCCATAGTGCAGTTTGGAGTGCAGCGGCTGAAGGTTATTCCAGACATCATTCCTCGATGAGAGCAAGAGGAGAGAAAGATGGTAATTACTACTTCCACTAAGTAAAGAAAAGGCTCCGCCGCTTCCTGACCGTCCCTCCGACCTTGTCTCTCTTCTTCTATTGTATCTGTAATTTCATTCACTGCCATTGTCAGGGACGATGGCACCAAAGATAGAAGATGTGAGGAAATTAATGAAATGAAAAAGTGGCTACAGAAGAGAGAATTATGGAAAACGCGGGCAAACCGAAGGGATGCGGGACAAGGGACATGAAGAGCGGGAAATAATTGA